CTGTCGGTGATGTCGACGGCCGAGGATTAGAGGTCTTGATCGCCGATCTTCAAGAAGGAACGAATTTTTTGATTTCTTTTTGAGTTTTCTATTTATTTATTTTTTTCTCTCTTGGAGTTTTGTACCGATGAGATGGGGGGATCGGGGAAGTCCTAAAACGACCGTCCGTTGTACATAATATTTTGGTAACTGTGAAATAATTAAGAAATTATATGTAAATATTGTTAATTTTTTGGCTTATAATCAGCTGCCAATGGCGGAATAATCCAGAAATTATATGTAAATATAGCTAATTTTTGGTGGCCAATTGGATTATAATTAGTTGCAATGGTTCTTGAAACTTTTGGTCGGATTCCGTTAATTTCTCCGTCATATTCTTTGATCTGTGAACTTTGTTCTGCAGGTGGCAAGATTTCTTTAGCTTAATTATTAATTTTTTTTCTTCTTTAACGAAAACCGTGCGCCTTTTGTGGCTATTATTTTGCAGAATATATACGAAAAAAGATACTGGGTCCTCTCCGTTGTAAGGAGTTACACCACTTTTGATTATAATTATTAATCGTGCGGTTATAATTATCTGTGGCTCATTCTAAATTTAACATTCATATATTCTATATAATTATTAATTGCATTAACGATTGTGACAGGTGTAGTGTTTTTTTACTATTTCTTTAGTAAAGAGGATGAAAATAAAAAAACGAGAAATTTTCTTATAAATTACAGAGAGATATTATAAGTTAATATCCATCCCGCTTCCTTGTAGCTAATAGTATAAATATACTACAAGTTGTATTACTGCTGTGGTACTAGACATAAAAAAAGTAGAGTCCATAGCAACTCATAATGTCTTTGTCTCGTTCTTTTGTGTTGCCTAGGTAGTACCCAAGAATCACTATTTATGCTATAGCAAATATTATAATAGTATTATTACTATAGTAAACATGGAACTGGACACTGGTTTTTTAAAAAAATATTACTGTAACACACTGAAATATTGTAGCAACGGCGGGGTTATCCAAAAAATTAAAAAGACTACTAGTTAAAACCTGGATTGCTGTAGCAGGAAAAATAATATGTCATGGTGTTCACACTAGTAAATTATCTATGAAACAATATTATTGAGTTCATCAGAGACACCACACTTTAAATTAAAAAAAAAATTATAAGTAACTGTTGTGTGTATTTATCACTTTTCATCACACAGAGAGGAAAAATCACAAGTAGCTTCTTGTATTGTAAATTCTTTCCAGAAATACAAACTCCTAGCTAAAGGGGTAAAAAAAAAAAACTAAACACCAGAAAAAGACTTCTGTCAATTTTTAAGTTGTCCTTCCGGCTTCCACACAATTCCTGAATTTTTGGTACGTTACACTTTCCATTACGCACCCATCCACTTTACCGACCTATTGAGATCAATAGAGATTCCCCATTTCTGCTTCTATTAGAACATCTCCAACAGCTTCCCATCTTCTTAAAATACTCAAATTTGGAGAATATAGAGCTTTTTTTTTGTCCAACAGATTCCCCATCTCATTCCCCAAAATAGGGAAGGAGGAGAAAAAATAGGGAGCCTTCCCCAAATCTGCAGCATTCTCCAATTTTTTTGGGAAGAGCTTTATTATTGTAATAAATGTGATTTTTCAAAATGGGGAAGCTGTTGGAGTTGGAGCAAAAATAATTTGGAGAATATGACTTTTGTTTCTCCATTTTGAAGAAAATTTTGGGGAAGCTGTTGGAGATGCTCTTACAAACCAAACTTCTTCAATCATTGGCAAACACCAAAGTCAATTTTTTTTTACATCAAATATCAAAAACCAAATTTTCAGGAGGCGCAGGTGAAAATAAAAAGAGGGTCTTTTTCTGCTTTAGAGTTGGTGAAAACTCTCATCACAAGAATTTAATCAAGTCTCCCAATGTTGTCCCACATAAAAAATGTTGGGATTATATCCATGAATTCGACTGGGGTTGATTACAATAAATGTTCATGTATATTTCATTTCTTGTGTTTCGAGTTGAATTGCGCGTATAACGGCGTCAAAATACACCTAAACAAGTATTTGAAGTGGAATACCCTCTAACAATGAGGAAGAGTGGACATAGAATTTCTATTCGAACTAGTATAAAAGAAAATTTTCCCAAAGATCCAAAATATGGGACCAACAGAGGAGGACATGTGAGGTACCTCTCCTATTGCATAATGATAGCCAGCTCATTATGCAATAGGAGAGGTACACCTCACATGTCCTCCCTGTTGGTCTCATATTTTAGGCCTATGTAGCAAAACTTAGCATAAAATACTCGTGTATTTCTGTGGATAACCTACTGCTTGCATCTGGATCCCGACAAAAATCTCAAATCTGATAAAAACCACTTGCACTGCAGTATAACATATCACCACAAACAATAAATCAAAACATAACATTCTACATAATCAACCAACACACAACAACCATGTCACCAAAACCCCCCAAAAGAAAAGAAAATTCATATAAACAAAACCTACCAATGTACACTGCCCTACCCATAACCTCACATACCCCCAACCACACCTTGCTTCTGCTGTCTTCTCAACATTGCCTCTTTACTATACTTTCGATGTCGTCGCTCTCTCGCATAAATAACCCAAAATATCAACGAGAGCATCACAGCAGTTGAAACCATCGCAAGCCCAATATAAACCCACCTACTATATTTTCTAAGGCCAGGGCAGTTGTTTTGGCTGATCGAGCTGAAAGTTTGTCGAACAAAAGTGCAGTCTTCTAATTGGGCCAAGAACGGGCCGTAATGGTGGAGCCCATGGCTGACAGTGACTGCGGCTGTCATTTGACGGTTGATGGTCGGAGTGAGGCGGCCCACGGTGGTGCATATCTCAGATCCGGAGATGGTGGTTGCATTGCATACGTAATTTTTCCATACCTGTGTAAATACAAGTATGCGTTATTTATGTTCTCTAGGCGTTTTCTTCATGAACCATATCTGTTTTGGTAAAATTTAGAGATTACCCCGCATGTGAAAAAGGTGTTATGGATCATAAAAAGTGCATGGCTCAGAACAACTGGTTGTACGCAAGGTGTTTTGATAAAATTTGTGCTCGTATTATATGATTAGTTTCTAATATGCAAACTATTTACATATGAGTTGCAATAAATCCATTTTTTTTATTCAAGACAGATATAGCTAGAGGTGCCAACGTTTCAGATACGGCTCGAATATGATACNTACCTACCATATCTGTATCAGCCATTTTTTATTCATGACAGATATAGCTAGAGGTGCCAATGTTTCAATACGGCTAGAATATGATGCTCACCGTATTTGTATCTGCTCAACAATCTTAGCTATGGATATGGAAACAAATACGTCTCGGTAAGGAAGACTTAAAACTATATCTGTGAGAATTGGATACAGATACGAACATACATGCAGAATATATATGCGTGCGCGTACACATATACACATGCGGATACAAAAACGATATGAGAAAACTACCTAGCATTGGAAAAAATGTAGTTCATATGATAGAAGAAACTAGAAACCTCATTAATATATCTATTATATTTGAATAACTAAGATTATATCTCTCGATCAACAAGATCAACCTCAAATCCATCAATTTAAGGATTAAAACAATTGTAAGGATATGACCGACATATATTAGGATAACTTCGGATATGGATCCAGATATTTCACTACATATCCATATCCATAACCACCTCCTATCGCATATAGATATTTAGTAACCATATCGTGTTAGGATACGGATACGGATAATCTTGTGCACCCATATAGATGTAACTGTCCACTAGATGTTGGTCTTTCTGCTGCCTAATTGCAAGGGAGAGGATCCTATCCAATAGAAACAATTGTTACAGATAAAACAATTACAGTGTTGATCATAGCAAATGCTGTAGCTTTAGGATACGCGTTGTCCATGACTTCATGCATTTTCTTCAACTTGTAATGAGAGACTATTTTCGAAAAAAAAATTAAAAACATCTAGTATGCAGATCAAAAGCCTTGTGAATGATTTACTTAAAAATTCAACAAATGGGGGTTTTAGATTTTATAGCAAATTATATGACAAGTTTCAGAGAGAACAGAAATTTTGCCGAGCACATGTCAAATTGGACAAATTATATGACAAGTTTCAGAGAGAACAGAAATTTTGCCGAGTACATGTCAAATTGGAAGGAGAAAGTTTCAGATGTCATGAAACAAGTTTAAGAAACATTTCCAAAATATTTAAAGTTGATTTAGAATTATACTGGGCCAGCAAAAGCAGCTCTCTCCGATAAACCTTAATTATATTTTACCACCTTTGTCTACATACCTATATAATATTGGTGAAGCCATGTATTTACCAAAGAGAAATTACCATCAAGATATACTAGAAGAACAATCACATCATCCAAAATTAACTTATTCAAAAAGTTTACATACCTGTGTTGCATTATTGAAATCAACCTCTCCAGAACGACAAGCATGATCAGTTGCATCTGCATTGTACGGATTGCAAAGCGTTGGTAGCAACGGTCCAGATTGGTTATAATATACAAGTGGAGCCCCTGGGGGAAAGTTTCTATTCGACACATTGCTGATAACTTGGTTCACGATGTTCACTAGCTGATGAGTGACTTGTCTGCTTCTGATCAAAGACTCGTTGGCAGTGGCCACGTCGACACAAGGAAGGATGTCATCGAGAGCGGTGTGAGCAGAAGGGTGCTGGACCCACTCGTTCATGGATACACAAGTGTCAGCAACCACACTGTAACAAAAGATTATTTGAGTTTGGTATGGCTAACTAATATTAAACGACAAATTATCTGATAATGGAAACAAGCAGTAGTAAATATTTAACTATGAGAAGAAAGTTATATGACATGAAAAAGAACATAAGGAGAAAGTTATATGAGGAGAAGTTATATGACAGGAAAAAGAAAAGGTCAGCTTTCAATGGAAGTAAGAAACTTTGTAGCATCAGAATAACTAAGGAGAAAGTTATATTGACAATTATCCAATGAAGTAGTCTACTTTTCCCTGTCTAGGAAAAATGGAATAGGATTGATCCTGGTTTCAATACATTAAATTGGATAGGCGGCATTCTTTGTTTCTAGAATTTGTTTGCAATTTTATGAAATTTTATGGATAAATTGCACCTCGTAACAAAAGGTAAGGACTAAGGTAACTTTTCATGCATTAAATGCAAAAAAAAACATACATGGGTAAGGATTATAAAACCTACAGTTCACACAGGGTATATATGAGCCTTGAGAAGATGGATGATTCAGAATGATAAATTTAGGGTCGAACAAGGGTAACGATAAAACGGTGAAATTGTGGGCTTTGGAGATCAAACTAGCAACATAAAGAGAGGTAAAACCTTGATTATGCTGACCCACCCAACTACCTTATAGGAATCATCTCATACTAATTGAAGTAAATGTTTGAACTATTAACAAATGGAAGCCTGTTGGATAGTTTGGAAATAATTATTATGGGCATCAGCACAGCAGCGGCCATATTTACCTATCCTGACACTAAATAAAATGATCAACTTTGCATTAGATAAGCACATGGTCAAGCACAATCAAAATGTTATCACACATGACAGCAGAGAAAAGCATCCAAAAACAGAAGGTAAGCTCATATATTATGTGTATGGATGATGCTTCGCTTCTCAATCATGGTAGTTTATGCAGACATCTCATGGTTTCCACGAATACCACTAGCTAACATGAACCACCTGACTATTGATTGAGTTGAGAGAAGGAGCTCCACATGTTCCAAAAAGCAGGCTCAGCTCAATGATAAGACAACATGTTATATCTCCTACGCCACCAACTCCACTACCTTTTCTATTTCATGATTTTGTTGGACCCCTAAGCTATGTTTACTTGGCCACAATTTACCTCAATTCTTAGAAAAAAAACAAATGTTCGACCACAGGCTCTCATCCTCTCTCTCTCTCTCTAACCGTCTCAAGTTTAAAAAAAATAAAACCAGTAATAAAAGAAGACGATGCAGCTTCCTAATCCATCCAAAGGCTCTTTCTCTCTCCACTTCCTTCTATAAACTGCCATATCAAGAAATCAATTCTAGATACATTGAAGAACATCTAATCTAGAATCTAGCAAAGTCAAGACAAAGGACTGCTACTAAAATGGAATAAAGAAAATTGCAGATCCAACCGACCTACATGTATCTGTGCCACACAACACCATGTGGATACAAAATGTTGATCACAAGATTTATCAAGAGTAGAAATTGCATATAAAAGTTGGGATGAGGAAAACCAATTCTCGAAGAGATCCATTTCTGAAATGCCTCAAACTCTGTGAGCTACATCTGAATCTGAAGATGGATACTATGTACACAAAAGGCATAAGTTCTGATAGAGTTTTGATAGAAACATGATAATGATAGAGTAGATCTGGTGATACAGGTACCTGAGTTATGGTTTATGGAGGTATCTTAAATATAGTTCATGAGGACTTCTTGTTCTGAATTATACAAAGGTCACAACTGTTTTAGTTTTTTATTTATCTTTATTTATTGCTGAAATATCATCACTTGATTAGGTAATGAAGCTTGATTTATGTGAGTGCGCTATGCAGATGAGTTCATCTTGTTTGCACATTATGCAAAGACTAAGTGGTCCTGATGTTTCAGAGTTTGAGTTATCCACCTAGACTAGATGAAGCAAAAATGTCGGTATAACAAAAATTCACACTGAAGTAATCAAAGAGCTAGTTGCGAGCCCTGAACTTCTTGGTATTAGGATGTCCTGCGTATGCAGCCGTGAGATATATCATAAGTGCATTTCAAATCTTTAAATACAACAAGGTGTTTTAATATCATAAGGTAACACTTACTTGTGTAGAACAAGGAAAACACCACACAAGATAAATGTTCCGGCTACAAGAATCCATCCGACGAGCACTAAGCTGCAAATTGGCAACAACAAGATCGATTAGAAGGTCTGGGTATATAATCAAACAAAGTAACACAAATGAACAACATAAAAGAACACCAAGGATTAATAAAGGATTGTTCACTTACAGATACACCAGGAATTGCAATCCAAATATAGAAAATACTGCCAAAACATAGCCCCAAAAATCACCATCAGCATAAGCAATAAATTAAAAAAAATTAGAAGTCAATACTTTGCACATAAGATGTGTAAATGCTTACAGAATCCAAGAAACGCCAAAAAGAGCATCACAGCTGAAACTATGATCAAAATCAGTCGCCTGCAATAGAAAACAAATGAAATTTCTCTGCTGAAGAATCTAAACAAGGAAACAAAGAAATAGAAAACACAATCAAGAAACTATGTCCATACACTGTATCTAATAAATTCTTGATCTTCTCGGAATTATCGGACGTGCGACTATCTAAGCTGTTGGCTGATGAGTTAACCTTAGTCACAACTTCATCAATTTGTCCAAGGACATTACCAGGAAGAAACACTTGATCCACTCCAATCTTTTTAGCTGCAGATAAATCATCTGAAAAATTTCTAAGGTTTTGCACTGTAATATTTGCTTGCCCGACAACATACTTCAAAGTTTTGGTTGTGCTGTCGTGAAATTCACCCTGGCCATTGTACAATACAATGCATCCAACACTAGATGCGTAGGATTACATATAAAACACAATTAGTTCAGTGATTAACCAAATTAATACCCAATAGTAACTCAATGAATGTCATCAAAATGACATGTAAATCACAAAGGGCACAAAGGAACATCAGAAAAGCAATGATAAAGGATATTATGTACGAATTACAAGTAGCAAAATTAATCAATAAGAAACTAGCAAATTAAAAATAGATCATGATTCATAAAGAGCTGAATATAAGAGCAAGCTGCATGTAGCCGACACAAAAATTTTGGGCAAAGGCTTGTTGTTGTTGTTGACACAATCATATACATTCCTGAATGTATCATAAGTAATTGATGATTACTAAGTGCGATTCATGAGAACACGAGCTTTTGATATTTCTTTATATGACTTTATATGGTACAAAATTAACATGTAGAGATGCAAGATGTAAATTACAAAGGGCACAAAAAAAGACTATAAAAACAGATGTTCTACATCAATTAGCAACATTGATCAATAAGATACTATAAATAAATGATAGCCTTTAACAAACCTAAATGGAAAAATAGGATATGTATAGCCGACCCGAAAAATTTGGGATAAAGGCATTGTAGTTGTTGTTGACGATAGCTTATATACATACTTGAACAGTTTAACTTTTCACAGGTACTTTGATGACATATTAAGTGTGACTCACGAGACATAAGCCTTCAATGGTTTATTGTACTGATTAGGCAATAGCTAAACAATGGAAGTCTTTGTTCTAAGATGAGAAACTTTAAACTTTCAATAAATACAAGTATCTAAATCAAAATTTAAAGTAGGACAAAGCTTACATTGCAGACAAAGTGAAGAGGATTAGAAGTACAAGGGACAGAGCATAAGCCACTCGAGAATAAGAGGGATTTCTCCGGCGACAGCAACAATAGTAGCAACAAGTAAACAACAACACCAATCCAAAAAGCACGAACCAAGCAGCCGAGATAACAAACAGTGTCGCCGCAGTGTAACTCACAGACTGTAAAAAAATAATCATAATTTAGCTACAAACCATAGAATATGCACTTCTTACAGAAAAATTGAAATAAGAAAGAAGAAGAAGCTCACAGCCCAATAATGCTTGTTACTGATATTCCAGCCACCAGTGTACTTCTCGAAGCTATTCAATGGGTCTTGTCTTCGAGTTCTCTGTGCAGCCAAGATGAATGAGCTGTTCTCCGCAACTGGAGAAGGGGACGTGGGTCCCTCAACAGTAAGCCTCCTCCATTGAACCACAGCTTCTCCTTTTACTTCTGCGCCACAAGAAACCAATTTTTTCGCAAAATTTAGAAGAAAAAGAAAAAACCAATTTTTGAATCAAAACTCCCCCTCTTTGTTTTTGCAAATATTGGTAATGCCAGTGTCAGAGAACTAGGTTAAACAAGTCACAATATGAATAAAAAAATCAAATCTTTTCCGTTGAGAACTCATCTTCAACATAATTATATGGAACCATTTCACAAATCTCAGAGATAATCCATCAGATGAGTAATATTTCTCAATATTTGAATAAAATAACGAGATTTCCCTCCTTGAAACTATTTTAGACAGGGATCCAATCAAAACCCAAATGATAAATCTCACATTTTCTGACAAAGATCGAACCCAAATAAATAAAAATTTAAAAGAGTGAAAAGTAGGAAAAAGCAAACAAAACCCATCTTAAATAAACTCGGAAAAAAATAATATTTTTAGTAAAAATCTCTTCTTTCACCCAAAAAAAAGCCAAAAAAAATTGAGAAAAATCTAGAACCCATTTCTCAACACTGAAAGAAAAGCACCTGAAATGGAATCGCTGGGAACAAGCTGAACGCCACTGGAGAAGGGAATGAAGAAAATTAGGAGCAGGGGAAGGAGACAGAACCCCATTGTTCCCAGAACAAAACAAGTGAGCTCTCTCTCTCTCTCTCTCTCTCTAAAATATGATGATGCTCTTTTTGAAGGAAAAGCGAAAAAAAAAAAGTAATTTCAAATCAAAGGGATTAGTGCTGAGAGAATGTTTAAAGACAGATCTTTGTTGCTCGTCATCGAATCCCTTTTATCGATTTTTCTTTTTTTCTTTTTCTTTTCCTTTTTATTTTTTATTTTCCTAAATATAGTTAAGAGAGTGGGAACAGGTAACCGGCTTCTTTATACCTGTTTTGGCAGCGGACAACAAGATAGCAATTGGGTGGTTGGATTCTTGGAACTACGATGAGAATTTATATTAATTAATTATGGTAGGTTTGTTTCCTTTTAAAGGTAAGTAGTTTTGCAAATATAAATTTGTGAATAGAAATACGATATGGTATTTAGCTATTTGAGTGTATTGCCTTCAAGTATTGAATCTCTCTATTGTTAAATAATGATATCCAGAGAGAACTCAAGATTCACTATTCATACTATAGTAAATGCTATATTAACTTTTATTGTATTACCACTGTAGTAAAATAGGAAACGGGATGATATAGTTTTTTTTTTGAAAAAATATTATTGTAGCACACGAGAATATTGTAGCTTTTTGGAAAAAGCTGTAACAGAAAAGGGATAATGTAGTAATCCAGAAATATTACTATAGCATTTTAAATCGTGATTACTCTAGCAGGAGAAAAATGATATACCGTATGTCGTGCTTTACACGGTTTTCGCACTAATAGTCTTTTTATCATTGCCTCTTTATAGTTGAATATTTAGGTTGTGAGAAATTGTTGGTTCCATCACATATCCCTCAAAAAATTTAATATCTTCTTAAATGACATATGATACAAGATGGTTGATATAGTTACTAAAATTTTGAAGTTTTAATTAGTTTGGATATTGTACGTGTTGATAGATCGAGAAAGTTTTAGTTAAAATCAATTCTTATTTTAAAATTGTAGAAATATTTCATAGAGGAAAAATGAGAATCACGCATAAATATAGGGTTAATTCAATATATTATGTTTCAATAGGTAGTGTGCAAAGATCCCCTACCATGGTGAGTTTAAGTAGTGTTAAGCACCTTTACTTTTTTTTTTATCTTTTTGAATTTTTAATAAAAAATATGGATGAATACCCAAGAGAAAACTACTTATCCTGCTCTTTTTTTTTCCCTTTTTCTGTTTTCCCTTTTTTAGATAATGGAAGTATTAGAAGTAAGAAATAGGTTATAAAAGTAACTTTTAAAGCTATGAAGTAGAAAGTAGTGAAAATAGCATTTTTTTTGTTTGTTTCATATATTTTTAGAAGTAATAGAAGTAGAACTTCTTCCTCTTTATTTACTTTTTTTTTGGATGACATTTGGAAATATTATTAGGAAGTAATTTTATTAATGAAAAGTTGTTAGAAGTAACTAATAAAGGAAATATTAATAAAAAAATTATTTATGTCATAATTAATATGCATTTCAACTACTTCCGAGCTACTTCTGAATATTGAGGATTAGAAAAATATTTTTGAAGTAAGGATGACACGTAGGCGCCACATAAGCATTTAGGGAAGTATTAGAAGTAAGTTTTTCAGAGAACCAAACACACTTTTTTGCTTGGAAGTAGCAGAAGTAGCATCTACTTCTTTTACTTCAGCTACTTCACAATTACTTCCGTGCAAACAAACAGACCCTTGACATCCAAATAAAAACAGAAAACACGTAAGATTTTACAGGCCATTTTTGAACCCAAGCTAACAAATGTTTGCGCAAATTCATGCTAATTATTCCAATAAAGTTATGGATATTGCATCAAATGTAAACATTAGTAGCAGAAAATTATCTTAATATACAGATTAGGGAGTAAAGTAGCTTGACATTCGGCAGAAAATATTCCCCGCTGACAAATTTTTTGTCTGTTAAACTTTATAAAAGAAAACAGAACATGCTTCTTGTAACTCGGTCGATTTTTAAAAAGATAAATCAAGATTAAACAATCTTAATTAATCCTAGCCGAATCTTTGAATACAGCACAGAGTAAATTATCTATCAATTATTATGATTTTAAAATGTGAAAACGAGTAAAATGTTGCTTAAGACGGACGAAAAAATAAAAAATAAGTAAAGATTACGGAGATGACAGCTAAAAGTAGCCAGCGCGGGACCCACGCGGTGTACGCGTGGCGAAACTCAGCGGAGCGCCCGCGTCGATCACCACACAGAATTCTTTGTCTGCCGACGTGAAGTGGCTGATTAACTCAATAAAAATGCACCCAGATTTGTACATCTGTATGAGTGTGGGACCCACTTCAGTTTTTAGCGTCCGAGTTTTTTTGTCCGTTTTTTGCAATGTCATTTTCGACTTCAAACAGGTTTGGATGCCATATGGCTGGCACTAGTAGCTTCAGTCAGTATGGGAAAAAAAAAGCTAAAATAGCACTTATATACCCCCTATTGTTTGACATAATTTTCCACTTAATAGTCCGTAATTTGTACTTGATGGTAAAAAATATCCTAAAGTTTTTTAAACTTGTATTTATATATATATATAAACGCCCTAAAATTTTTACAACTAACACTTAAATACTCTAATTTTTTTCCGACACCTAAATGCCCTATTTTTTTTACAACTAGCACTTAAATACTCTAACTTTTTTAACCTTGCACATAAATATTGTTATGCCATGCAAATAGTTTAACTGTTGATCCCATCAAAACGCCGGCACATGTCTCCCTCTGTGCCTAAACATCAATACTTAAAGAAGAACGACTCAAGCGACTCCAGCGGTTGACCCAATAGGCAACATATTAAACATGCGGTACTTGTCAACCTACTCGCAGGATCGAGACGAGAAACATCCTCAATTGGCCTATCACTCTAGTCGACTCCACTCCCTATTGTCATTCGGCCCTTCCAGATCGACAACTTGCGAGGTCGACTAAAAAGACAGTGTTTATCGGCCTCCATTGAGAAGAATCAGAAGGCGGTGCACCCTTCAAGCCCCCCCGCCGATAGTCAATCGCCATCACCTTAAATGCATAAGCAGAATCATCATTGCTTCAGCCTCGTAAGTCTTTATGACTCATCGGACCTTGTAAACACTACGTGCATCCTGTCATCCCCACATTAAACGCCTTGATGACTCACCCCCTTCATCGGCTGACACCTACAAAGTAGATAACGACCAAGCCACCAGTTGTACCCGACCAAAGTTACCTATCTACCTTTTTGATCTACTACAAATGGGAATTGAGGTCTGTCGCCAAAGTTACTACGTGCAACATTGATCAATTTTATTTGCTACTTAACTCTTAGTTTACCCACTTAAAATTTGAACTGACTTGATCGTCAGAGGAATCACCGGAGATCCCAACTCCCACCTCTCATGAATTCTTCATATGCAGGATAGGATATCTGACTCAGGAACCAGTCATCCGAGGAAGCTTGATGACACTAATACCCTAATAATCCACAAAATAACCCCATGTACTATAACTGACATCAACAAATACCCTTAGTCATGCAAACTTAAGGGGATTTAAGTGCAAGTTTTAAAAAATTAGTGCATTTAAGTGCTAGATTTAAAAACTTTAGGGTATTTAAGTGTAAGTTTTAATAACTTTAGGGTATATAAGTGTCACAAAAAATAACTGAGGGTATATAAGTGTAACTTTAGAAATTTTTAGAGTATTATATGTTATCAAATACAGGTGGGGATACATAAGTGAAAAGCAGATGAAATAATATGATACATAAGTGCTTTTTAACAAGAAAAATGTAAAGAAAATTTATTTTATAAAACTATGAAATTTTTTTAAAGACCAGTTTTTAAAACTTACTACAAAAGCCAACAACCAAACCAAAGACCAATAGTGGAACATGTAGGATTTTTATAGTGATTAAGATAACAATTTTACATCCAATCTTCTTTCTCACGAAAGGGCTTGTTCACTATGTCAAGAGTTGACCTGAATCAGCACCTAATTTAACAGGTTTACAGAGATCGCATCCTAAAATCTACCTGAAATAGTCGTCTAACCTAATTCTTCACGGTAACTAACACCTAGCCCTAGTTAGTCCCAAACATCAGTTACCAATAGCTTGAGTATAAGGAAAAATAAGTTTAAAGCAAACTACAAAAAACAATTCTAGTACAAAAAAAGAAAAATGTTACAGCTCTTTTATTTAGCTAACCCTCCTCCAAACGATTGAAGCAAAGCTATATGAAAAATGATGTATATGGTGATTCAAAGGGCAACTCTTCTCATTAAGATGATCCGATGTTGTTTAGCACGATGAGAAATAGTTTGTTTAGGCTTTAGGTGTTGAAATCACAAATCAATCTTCTTCTCACAAAACCTATAAATTTCTCTCTTCAAGCCCTAGAACTCTCTAAACATCATCTTTTTTAATCTTATATAGTCTCTCATAAATCAAGAAAATAATATCCAAATCATAGTGGAAGTTCAAAATGAAAGGAATCATTGAATGGTTCTGATTAATATTTCAAATATGTCAAACACCAAATCACTATTGATGGTTCATGACAACTATTGATGGTTACCTAAGCACTATCGATGGGTGTTTGTCGATCATCAATGGTTTGATTTTGAATTTCAAAAATTTTACAGTTGATCACTATACACCATCAATAAGGTATGGTGACTATCGATGGTTCACTATAGATCAACAATGGTTCGAAATTAATTCTCTGAATTTTTGTGATTGTTCACTATATACTATTGATGAGCCTTGACCATCAATGGTTCACTACAGACTATCGATGGTTTCAAGGTTGAAATCAGCTTAAATACTGATTTTCAAATCATCTTGTCTCGTAACCTTCATATACATGTTCTTAATTATACTATATCATCTTAAATAAATATTAGTACCAGTCAAAAGTTTGTTGCTACTTGAACAAGAGCTATTGTACGGACAAAATCCTAACAAACAGAATTTTGTAAATAAATGTTAAGCAAGATGAATGCTTAGGATTATATTTCAAATAATTGTTCTTTAACAATAGCTATTCTTATTGATGTAGAACGCATTGTAGATATATTTATGGAGAAACGGGACAATATAAAGCCCAAACGCGGGCCTAGCCAAGGAAAATAATTTGTAACGAAGAACATAATCTCTCAAATCGTACGTCGGAATTGGATGAATTATATATTTAAATCTCGTATTTTTTGAGACGGAGCC